GTTACTATTAGACTACTTCTTAAATCTTGTGAGAAATCGTTCAAAATATTACCCTTCTTACTGACTCCTCCAAAGATTGTTAAATGCATTGTTGTATCACTTAATACGCCATCGCATGTCATCGCTACACAGCTGGCCCTCAAGCCCCAGGTTGGGCCTAGTGTCATACGAATCGTAAATTCTCTCATTTTAAAAGGGGCGCATTCTCCAGTTAATTCAACGATAAACAAAGGTAAGAGTAATTCAAATCCGTTCATTGTTTCGTCAAGCTGTAATGTATCCCATTTTTGCAACCAATGCATCACGTAGTTGTAGATGAGCATCACACTTTGCATCTCACTTTTCAGTGCGTAAAAGCTAGAAAGAACCCCACAGATGTGGGATTCCTCGACAAAAATGGTGTGAGCCGTTGCAATAGGAAGAACTAGATTTTTTAAAGTAATAAGTGGTGAACGACGATTCTCACTAACGCATAGGCGAGTACACCTCCACGGGACCTCCAAATTTAAGGCTTCTACAGAAACCTCGAAGTTTCCCAAGCCCAACACCGCGTTTTGAATCTCCACTTGCGTCTTCAGTGGAGGAGTCACAGCATTCTCCGAAGTAGCTGCAAAAATATGCCAAACAAATACATTTTCCTGCTCAATTACACAAAGCTCAGCGATCAGATTTTCAGCAATCCATTCATCACATTGAATTCTAAGATAATTCAACAAAACCGAAAGCTCCTTATTCTCCCCGTTTTGTAGATAGGATACCATAATTCCCTCGCGAGTTTCGGATTCATCAAGAATATAAGCAATCGCTTTATTAGTAGAACTTGAAATTTCTGACGAGGCTCGAATTGAATATGCAGAGAAGACAATATCAAAAACACCAGCAGAGTGAGATAATTGAAGTTGGGCATCTGCCAAATCAATATTGAGAAACATCTTGCTTCCTTTGAGACAACAAGGCAATTTTGGTGCTAGAAGGGAAGTGGAAGTTTTCAAGCGCATCGGGGCAATGACCACATACCCTTTAAGCACCTCCACAGCAGAGACTTTGTATCCACAACCCCTATCGCAAATGTTATCTCCGTAGTGTCGAGGAAAAACTCTTCCAGTTGAACGAAACTGTTCCAATGTAAACCTCGCTTCTTGACGAACCTGGATAAGGTACTCCACAGTAAACGCAGCTAATGCCTCCTGGATTATTTTTGTATTCACATGGAGCCCTACAAGCCAAGGGGCTCCTAGGTTTAGGAGGTAGTGGTTGTAATACTCTTCCGCATGACACTTCCAGTCTTTGTATGTGGTCCAATTAAAAGTTGTCTTTTTCACACAACTTCGGGTGTTTGATAAACTTCTATGCATACCATACCTCCACCAAGCGGCACAACTTCCAGGCGTGTTACGGCTTGGTCTTCGCAGTGGCCGCAAGTTATTTCCATCCTTGTCAGGTAACTGTGAAGAAGCAATACATGCAGTCATCAGCAGTAATGCTTTAACTTTGGTAAAGTCCAAAGCTATTTCATTAAAATGAGCTAAAATACATGCTCCAATATGCACATTGGGGGACTGGAATAGTAAAGAAACAAACACCTCCAGTGAAGAGGGATTTAAAAGGTAGCCAAAATCTTTCACCTCATTTTCCATTTCGCCATGTAGAAGCGATGAAATGGACCCCAATGGAAGCGTGCGCCATGATTGATTAGAAACACCTATGCGATCCAGGTAAGTTACAGTAACAGCAATTCCTTCAACTGAAATGATCCGGTAAAATGTACAAGTCTCATCTTTTACGAAGCAGGGCTCTCTCATTGCATTGCCTGTGATGCATGAAAGATATTGTAGTCGTAGTGTAGCACTGAGAGAAGGAGGTCCCATTTGCTCATACCTCACCATAAACTTTTTGACAACTATCGTAAGATTGCGCAATACAATCTGCATAAGCCTTTCTAAAAATTTATGGCGCCTGTTTTCCGTATTCGTTTGGGATTTATATTGAAGTGAGTCCAGAAGTTCAACTATTTTTTGCTTCCCGTCCAGAGGGTTCCCCCCTTTATCTACATCTTGTTCTTGCGAAGGTTGTCTAAAAACAAGCAGAACGTCCCCAAGACATAGCTCGCATTGGCGTGAATATAGCGCTGTCCAGGGAACAGTTAGTCGTAACTGTCCTATAATAACCCTTTCTAGGGGAGAGG